TGTGTTGCTGTGAATTACGGTGTCTTGGTGTGGATGGCTGGTGTGTCGCTGTGAATAACAGTGTCTTGGTGTGGATGGCTGGTCTGTTGCTGTGAATTACGGTGTCTTGGTGTGGATGGCTGGTGTGTCGCTGTGAATGACGATGTCTCGATGCGGATGGGTGGTGTGTCACTGTGAATGACGGTGTCTTGGTGTGGATAGGCAGTTTGTCAGTATTTATGTATATCAGCATGGGTTTGTACTGTAAATTACTGTATATACAGTCAAACCATAAATTATTCAGGTGACACACCCCTGAAGAACATGTAAGTTGAAACAGCTTAACAGTGTAGCTTTGATTTTGAGAGTGTTATTGGTGGCAAGAATCCCTAATTTATAATCAAATCTGGGTCACAGGTCCATGTCCTCATATTTTCAACAGTCTTTTTTTTACATTACAGTCAAGCATTCAAATTGTATTGGCAATACATTGATGAAGCAATTCTGCCTTCTTTTCAGTTATTAAGGACTTTTATTTTCTAAGGTCATTAGACCTACAATACAAACTCTTAGGCAGAGCATCACAAGCTTTTTTTGATGCTATTTTCACAAGTGTTAGAGGATTAAATTAATCCTAAACAATGGAAATAGACTGCGTAGCAGATTTTGAATCAACTGCTCTACCGCAGGAGTGAAGCTGGGTTTCAACATTTTGAAAGATTAGTCACCAATCATTAGTAAATCATTATCAGCATAATTTTGAACCACTGTGATGGGGGTTTGACAGTATTAGACAGTATTAAATGTACAGTGTGTCTATAAAATGGTTTTCCGTGATTCTCAGGGCCTCTGATTGGCTCTCTAGTCTTCTGTGACAGCTGCTTTCTGCTGTTTTTTTTGTCATTTTGTTCTCTGCTTATGCTGCTTTGCCACACTGTCATATCATTACCTGTGTTTGTGTTATTTTATTTTTGTTTTTGTGTGCTTTCCATCTCCTAGCCTGCAGCAGGGGTAGCCACTGCACCCTCGCCAAAGCCAAGCTCAGTCAAGGCAAGGCCCTCTTCCTTGGCTACCGGGGGTACTCCCAAACGCCCCACCTCTTCCTCTTCTGCCTCTACCCCTAGCAAAAAAAACCCTGGCACCACGGCAACCACCCCAACCACTAGCACTAAACGACCCACACCAGGGGCATCGCGCCCTGCTTCCACCACACCCCGTGAGGGAAAGGCCAAGGTGAGTTTCCCCTAAATTTCTTCCTCTCTTCCTGCCACCCTTTTTTCCAGGAAGATCTACTCACCCCCTTGCTCTTTTTTCCTCACCTCTGCAACTATATGACCTGGGACAAGTCATACTGTATATAACTACAGTCTTTACCCTGGCCCACATAGTATCACAATCCAATTCTCAGCCTTTGAGCCTTTGCTCGCCTTTTACCCACTCTCTGCCCATCTATTCTTCCATGCCTCTGTCCCAAGAGCCCTGGAACTGCTGTCTGTTTTGGCACATAGTGAGTTTTCCTCCTTCCCGTCTTCTTTGATCGATCCCTCTCCCTACACAGAGGTTGCTGTTATCTGCGGGACACTCAACATGGAGTCCTACCTCACAGCTCTTCCCCCTCCCTTTCTGGAAAAAAAAAACTGCCTCCTCCAAAAACCCACTGTCAGAACTGTTATCCTGTGTCAATCATAAGAGCCTTTGGGCTACGAGACGAGCCCGACTTCCTCTGTCTGTCACTGCGTAGCGCCCATCCACTCTCCAATACTCGAAACGATGAAAGAATCTGATCTTTCTGGAACAGTAACCCTTGATGAACATTTTTGTATTGTTGATAGCCTTATTTTAGTTGAGGTAAAATGTGAACAGGCAGAAGAAACAGTTGAAATAGTTTGAAATAATGCTATTCATTGCCTTTTTCCTAATCTTGTTTCTCTTGTCTCTCTCTTTGACAGTTTGTTTCATAGAAAAGCTTGTATTATAGCTTTATATTTTTATGTATTATTTTATATTTTACTATAATACCACGTCATTGAAATGTTACACTTAACCTATAGTAATGTAAAGTAAATGTGAAGAAAACTCTGCTTTTCTCCACTTGTATCATGCCTAATTTTATCACACTAGAGTATGATCATATGAAACAACTGTTATCAGTGTTTTCTGTTACAAATCATAACACCTTTATTGTCTATTGTAGTAAGGCTCTGTGAAAACTGTCCATTATTGTAATAATGACAGCAATAATAATCCTTTATTTAACCAAATAAATCAATTGAGAACAGATTCTCATTTATAAAGATAAAGTGGCTTAGAGGCTTAATCCAGTTGCATTGAAGTCAAAGTACTGAAAGAAAGAAAAGAGCAACAAAATATAAATCATATAGCAGGATTAACAGTTGCAAGTGTCAAGAAAGATTTAATCATAAAATTGAAAACCTCCTCAGATAGTCAGACAGTTTTCTGCTCAATTTGTAGAATAGTTCATTTAATTTCAGCTGCATAAGGAAATTACTTATGTAGATCCAGTGTGGTAAAACTACAATATTTTAATTTGTAGGATGATGCCCAGGCAAACATTAGTCAAGTATCAACTTAGGGTCAGTCAGTCAATGAATAAAGAGAACAGTGAATACAGTAGAGGGCCCAGTGATTCATCTAATGGCAGTCAAGTGTAAGACCTCAAGTACAGCAGTTTTAGATGCTGTTCTATAAACCACATGACCACTGTCTGAGAAAGGGAATTCAGGCATCTGAACTAGTGTACAGTATGTCAACCATGTATGTGTGTAAAACCAGACTTGTGACAAAAGAACAAAAGTCTAGACTTGAGTCTTTACTTGAGTTTATCAGAGTGAGTTTTAAATTTAAGTACTAACTACATGCCTTGATATTTATAAACCATGACTTGATCCAGTATAGTCTTACTTAAAGTACAACTCTAAACCTAAATTTCCTTTTTGGCAGTGTTTAACAACAGACACAATTCCTATAAGACCTTCTGATTTGTTTCTGAACTAGTTTGTACAGTATATTAACCATTACTGAATATAAAGTGGATTCATGAGTATGAGATGGTGTGACTGGTGTTGAGGTGGACATGAGAGCTGCGTAATAGTAGCCTGAGTGCTACTATTGATATAGATGGGGAACCTTGTGGGACTCCCTTAGTAACTGGCAGATATTATGCAGTTGTGCACACTGTATACAGTTTTGCAGATAATTTGTAAAAATGCAAGTTTGCATATCAAGGCCAAAGATACAAGTTTTGTGATTAAAAATAGTAATTGGAAAAAATGTTTTAAGCTGCATAAGTATGATTTTTGTCGAATAGCTGTTATAATAACTTTAAGTAACTGGCAATTTTTAAGACTGCTGTACAACGTCCATCCAGTTTTATGAGACAGATGATGCATCCAAAACAAAATCCAGACTTTGCTTCAGATTTATATAAATTTGTCCCAGAAATGAGCTTAACCGCTTGCCAAAAAGTGTTTTGTTTTATGTTTTTTGAAAGTCAAGGCAAATAGATATAGCAGTTAGGAAATTATTTTTTATCCCCTTTGAAGAGAGACATAACAAGGGCAGACTTCCAGTCTGCTGGGATTTCAGCTGTTCAAAAGAGAGATTGAGTAAATGGGTCAACAAAGTGAATATTAGATGAACAGCATGTTTTATAAAAAATACCATATTTTTCTAAAAAAACATATATACTAACTACCATACCAATAACAGTTTTACAAAGCTTACCCAGTACTTCAAATTAGGTGACTGAGGGCTGTATCATAAAACTGTATAGATTTTGGAATTTAAATGTAGAACTGAGCTGAATAAGCGTTATTATTATGTACTGTATGTACATGTCAGACACACAACAGGCTTTAAATAAATGTTCATTAAATGATTTAACCACTTATGTTCAATCTATCAGAACCCTGTTTTTGTAATACTATATAAGATTAAGATAAGATCTTAAGATCACTTTATTAGCCATGGATAATTTCTTGCATTAGGAACTCGTCTTTTTTCACATACCCCAGATAGCTCTCCATGAGACACAGAAAAGCTTGGGGTTAGAGCGCAGGGTCAGCCATTGTACAGCGCCCCTGGAGCAATTGGGGTTAAGGGCCTTGCCCAGGGGCCCAACAGAGTAGGATTCCTCTGCCAGCCGTGGGAATTGAACCGGCAACCTTCCAGCTATAGTCACAGATCCTTAGCCACAGAGCCACCACTCCACCATGAGTGGTTGAAACAAGCAAAGGAGAGTTTCTTAGTACTAACAGTTGAGAGAATTAATAGTTGCAATATCTTACTCTAGAGTTCTTAATGGTTTGTGTACAGATATTTCTAATTTGTCTGAAGTCTTGTCAGTGGGTTTCTTAGAGGCCCTAGTCAGTCAAGCTATTTTCTTTTGCATGACTAACAGTGTTTGTACAGTGCTAAACTGAGGGCCATCATGATGTTCTGATAGTAAATCTCATAGCTGGTTCTTGCTCATTGATGAGATTGAGAAAATAATCTTTATTAAAATTCTAAGCTTCTTCAAGTGAGGAGACTAGGAGAATAATGAGAACATTTTTTCTCCAGTTTATTAAAACCAGATCATGTAGAAAAGTCCTGATACAATGTATGCTTAATGGCAAGTTTATATTGATAAATAAGACTGCAGGAACTAGAAAACTACAAGCTAACAATGTGTTTTTTATATAGCCAGCAGCCATATCACCCTGCATCTCACAACTGGCAACCCACTGAAGCTAAGCAGGTGTGAGCATGGTCAGTACCTGGATGGAGGGAAAAACTAAGGTTGCTGCTGGAAGAGGTGTTAGTGGGGCCAGTAAGGGGCGCTGACCCTGAGGTCTGTGTGGGTCCTAATGCCCCAGTATAGTGATGGGGACATTATACTGTAAAGAAAAGGTGCCGTTCTTCAGATGAGACATAAAACCAAGGTCTTGACTCTCTGTGGTCATTCAAAATCCCAGGGCGTTTCTTGAAAAGAGTAGGGGTGTAACCTCGGTGCTCCCTTACATTCTACCTCAGCTATTAGTTACTTCATTAGTCTGATTAAGAAGTGTAGTTGTTTATCCCAGACCTCAAACCAACCAATCCTTAAAATTTAATGTACAATTAATTCCATTACATATTTTCAAGCAGTATTGTTTAAACTTTTAAAAGGAGCTAATAATGTAGCTCACAGACAGCAAATATTTGGAAAAAATGGTTGGAAAAAGGCCTTTGCAGGTCTTTAGCACTGAGATGCTTACATTCACGTTGTGCAATGAAAATCTTATTTCTGCCTCTACAGCCTGAGGGGCTCCTCAACTTAAGACAAAGTCCCCCAGTTGGTACGGATATTCAAAAATACAACTATAAACTAACACAAGTATTTAGTAATGAGTAAAAATATAGAGAATATGAAAAATCCAAGAAGTGGTACTGGACAATGAAGACAGAAGGATTGTTTTAAATAGAGAACAGCTACGTTTGAAGGTCAGTCAATTACACAGGCTTACAGTAGAAGTCAGATTTAGCTTCTGGTTAGAGCTGAGGTTCTTGAAGGAAAGCTTTGTATTTCTTTAGTCATAACTGAGGGACTGAGAGGAGGAGGCAGTGTGCAATAAGGTTTAGAGCTTAGGGGCAAGGATTTACAGTAGTTACATTTGCCTGTGTGTTGGCAGTCGGCATTGCCCTGTGTGGCAAGAAGGTGCCCAGAAACATGAGTGCGTCTCCATGCTGGTCTCTGTGTCCCCGTCCCTCTCCCTCTCTCTGCTCTCCCACACACTTTTTCTCTCTTGTCAGTTGCCTGAAAGCCGCAGTCCAGAAAAGCGCCCACCAGTACCCAAAGCAAGCAGTGCTACTCCCTCAGCCAGAGCTCCACCAGTGAAGAATACCTCTTCAACAGCCCCATCCAAATCACCTGGGGCTCCCCGGGCCCCAACAGTACCCAGGACCACCGCCAGTGCTACCCCACCCCGGCGCCCCACCTGTGAGTGACCACAACAAACTCGAGCGCTCACCTCTGACCTGACACACACACATGCACTTTTCTGAGTGACACATAGAATCTGAGGATGTCACACACTGATACTGTCAGCTTATGCCAAATCTCAGGAGTTAATTGGGTACTATTGGCTCTATTCAGTCCATACCAAGAAAATACTTATTTAATGTTCATTTAATGTTAGCTGTATTTGAATGTTACTGCATGACCTTTATAATGATTCTGTAACTTATTCTGATAGGCAAATTGCAAATGATTATCTCCAGTATTCATTTTAACATCTCTCCATGTATTTAAGTAGGCTGAAGTAGTTCAGCTGGGTACCTGCATCAGCATGCGTAGGCTGCAAAGGAACAAGTAATAGGTTTATTCCATGCTGAAAAGAGAAGAAAGGTAACAACGTTTCGGCTGTCGAGCCTTCCGCAGGTCCTTACATCTGACAAAGGCTTGACAGCCAAAACGTTGTTTAATTTCTTCTCTTTTCAGCATGGAATAAACCTTTACTTGTTCCTTTAAGTAGGCTAGCTTTGTAGATGGATACACATGCAATCTGCTGGGGTGTAGCACCCCGGTGAAGGCTAGAAGTGTTAACTCTCTGCTGTACCTTGAAAATGTAGGGGTATGTGAGTGAGCAACTACCTCTCCTCCCGAGCTGACACTGAAAAAAGACACTGCTGTTCTACCCTCCGCAATTCAGCTGCAGAAAACTTGCACTGATGTGTTTTTTTCCCCAATTGTTCCTGTTGTACTAATACCTCCAATTTAAACGTCATAGTCTTAAAAAAGTTGAATAGGTGAAGCAGTGATACTGTCTCTCCTCTGCAGCCATCAAGACTGAAGTCAAGACTGATGCCAAGGCTGGAGAGGTTAAGAAGCCCAGCACCTTGAAAACACCACCAGGTAACACCCCTTTTCACTGGGCTTTTCTCTGCTTGTGAAATGCACAGTTCTAGGAATACAAAAAAGTAACCACAAAAGACTGAGATATGACTTATTTTTTGGTAAAAATATAGATCAATGCCTTTTTCTTGTAAAGTATTAAGCTTTTATTGAATTCTCTTAGGAGACATAAAAGGCAAAACAGCTAGATTTCAAAGATAAGACTAGCAAACGCCTGTAGGAGCTCATACTGTAGGTCTTTTGGCCGCTTCAGCTGGATTTTCAACCTGGAGTTTATACACAGGCTCCCTCCAGTGGACAGTTTGAAAAATACAGGCTTTATAAAAGCACTGAAGACTGTTTCTAGTTTCTTTTAAGATTGTGAGTACTTTGAAATGGGCACACTTGTAGCTTCCTAAAAGGTATTCACTACTTCAGAGGAAGGAAGGAAAATCTTCACTTGTCACCGAAGTGCAGTGGTTTTCAACCTTTTTTATGAGATCAATCCCTGTTCTTATTTTCTGGAATGTGTTTCTGTAATGAGCCTGTTCCTGCTGCCACATAAAGCACAACCATCCTGAACCCAGGTCAGCCGTATCACTTTGCCAGAGTGTTAGACAGCAAGAGTAAGGGAGAATGTGAAGACTGCCACTTTGTTGCCTCATCTCATCAGATCTCACATGCTAAGTGAGGCTATACCTCCATGTGGGTCCTAATGCCCCAGTATAGTGACGGGGAACCAATACTGTAAACAGGCGCCGTCCTTCGGATGAGACATAAAACCAAGGTCCTGACTCTCTGTGGTCATTAAAAATCCCAGGGCGTTTCTCGAAAAGAGTAGGGGTGTAACCCCGGCGTCCTGGCCAAATTTCCCATTGGCCCTTACCAATCATGGCCTCCTAATAATCCCCATCTATGAATTGGCTTCATTACTCTGCTCTCCTCCCCACTGATAGCTGATGTGTGGTGAGCATTCTGGTGCACTATGGCTGCTGTCGCATCATCCAGGTGGATGCTGCACATTGGTGGTGGTGGAGGGGAGTCCCCATTACCTGTAAAGCGCTTTGAGTAGAAAAGTGCTATATAAGTGTAAGCAATGATTATTAATTATTTACAATTATTAAATATCTTTCTAAACCATCGTGGTCAATTTGTATAGGGCTAAAAACAGAACTTATTTTAGTGGAGGTGCTGAGGATCTCCAAAGCAATGAACTGGGGTGAAAAGAAATGGATGATTGACACAGGACTGAATTTCACCTCTATAAATAATATATGGCCCTTTCTGTTTCTGTAATTCCATTTTCATTTTCTGTTAAATTCTGTTGTCATTCTCTAAGTATAACTTTCGAAGTCCTTTGGCTATGACTTGCCAGTGCTCGTCACAAAACAGTCAGTTCAGTATGGGAACCTACTCAGTAAAATTGTACAGCTGCAGCTCTGTTCTAGAGACCCTGCTGTCTCCAGATCCAGCAGTAGGAAGCTCTGTTTTGAAACTACGTATATTCAGTGTTGTAGAATAGCAAGACACTGTAGTTTTGTTGTACTTGTAGAATGGCACTGAAAATGTTTGTTTTCCTTTAAGTTTCTCTTACCTACTCAGTGTAGTAATGCGAGGATTTTAATATACTGTAAAAGTAAACTGTTAGGAATCAATCAAACATAATAGTTTATAGTCTCACACATGGATTCTAAATATACAATGTACAATTAATTGATATAACACCAAAAACATATAACAACGTGGTTGAGAAAGACAGAGTTTCCAGGTTAGTTAGAGAGAGATGAAGAGCCCATGAGTTAATCAATGGTTCGACATCACCCGCTGGTGTTGGGTTGAGGGTGTTATCAGGTATAGTCCTGGTACGCACCTTACGGGTCCCCTATTGGTGGATCTTCCTTTGGATGATGAACAGCGACCTCTGATCCATTGTCCTGGGTAGAAACAAAGGGCGCTCAATGGATCCCATCTGCGCTATACGCATCAGCTTTATGATGTCTCTTATCAGAGGGGCCTCTCAGCCACATTCCCTTACATTTACTGAGGAGCTCAAGCTGCTTGGTCAAGGCACAGACAATTTGAAATCTTTAAGTGTTATAATATGCCTTGCTTCTATACCAGCATATCTTATGTAGCCACCAGTTTTAAAAGCGCAGATCTAAGGGAAGATTAAATGGGGTGGGATTTACATATTTGATTGAGTTTGTAGTTTACGAGACTGTAAACAAATTGATTGTTAATAAGTCTAGGGAGCTGGTCCGTGCGATGGTACAGTTCTGAGCTGTAACTGACTCGGAGTCTCTTTTTCTTCCCTAGGTGACTTCACCCGTCCCAGGACCACCCCGACCAAGAGCAATGCCACCACCCCCAGCACCCCTGGGCTGACTCCTGCTCCGCGTAGCCGCACCCCCAAAACCCCCACCACCGCCTCTGCCGAGAAGAAGCCAGCCACACCCCGAGCACCCCCTAAAACTAGCCCAGCTCCCCGCACGCCCGTGCGGCCTGCCACAGCCCCCACACACGACATCAAGAATGTCCGCTCAAAAGTCGGCTCCACCGACAACATGAAGCACCAGCCTGGAGGGGGGAAGGTAGGGCCCTTTCTGCAGCAGGGCGTCTGTGTCTCTCCTATTGGGCCTCTGCTGATTTGTTTTATTTCAGTCCAGAAGGATTGTGTGCTAATTGCATCACTGGACAGTTAATGCTTTCTGCAGTGAGTACACCCTTCTTTGTGGAACTCAACTACATTACGGTCAACAGGAAGGCTTATCCAGTATTACAGTATGTTCCACATCACCTTGAACAATATATTACTGTCTCTGATTGAGTTTGGACCTATTGTTATGATGTGTTATTACTCTGTGTTTTACCAAAACTTACCAAGTGCTGGGTGGCTGTTGAGGCCTGGCATGGCCAGTTCTCTCATGCATCTGTCCTGTTATCACTTCACTTTCTGTGAGGGAAGAAGGGGCATCAGTCGCTGTCCTAGCACCCTTAACAGCAGCAGGTGCTGTGTCCCAAGGGTGTAGTTTCTGCACGGCCTCTGTCTTCCCCTCTCATTATTTTCCTTTTTATAATCCTTTTGTCAACCCCAGTCTTTCCTCCATTATACGTCCCTTCACCTGTCTTTCTCTCCTCTTCTGTATTGCCCCCCCACATGCTGCACCCCCTCCTCTTTCTCTGTTACTGCCATTTTGTCTTTCTTGCCTCTCCCTGTTTTTGCCCTTCTTCTATATTGCTGATCCGACTGCTCTCATGTGTATCGCGCAGTTGTTCACCCTTCTTCTGTAATGCCCTTCCTGCCCCCCCCATCTGATGGGGGTTGTTGTCTCCTCAGGGTTGGGCAGGGCAGCGAATGGTGTCTGCCCCTGTGTCGCGGGGTCCCCAGAAAGAGAGCAGCCAGGGGACTGTGAGTCCGTCTCATCGCCACCTCCCTGTCATCTTCAGCTCTCTCTTCTAAACTGTCTGCTGTTCTATGTCCCTCCAGTCATTCATTGCTCTCTCCTCTCTATTTATCAGCTGTGTCTTCCTATTAGTGTTTCTCCCTGCACTCTTCAGACACACCTCTGCCTCAGCCTTTCTTGATTGCAATCTCTCTTTACTTCTCAAGCTCTCTTTTGCTCTGCATTTTATCTTCTGACCCTTGGAGAATCTCACATGCTCTTCTGACATCCCCCTTGCTTTGCGTCTCTTCAAAACCCGCATCATATCTGAGCTCGTCATTTCTCTGACTCTCATTATTTCTCATGGACTGTCTCTCCAAATCTCGCTCTGCATGTCTCTAGCAGTATTGTTTTCTTGTTCTCCTGTATTGTCTCTCTATATGGTTTCCTTATGTGTCTCTGAACTGTCCTTTCCTGAATCTTAATCTTCCCTTTCTGTCTCTGTTGGGTGCTCATTGTCATGTTTCTGCATTCCCTTTATTTTTTTATTTCTCTTTTCCTCACAATATTTTTGATTTACTCTCAGAAAGGATGTTTAGTTTTTCACCTCTTCCTACTCCATAGGTGGAATTCACAGAAAGACACTAAAACACACAGTTGTGTGACAGCTGTGCACACCCTCTATCACAGACTCTACCAGATGCATTGATGTAGACATGGTAGTAGACACTCACAGGGGTTGTGACGCACATAATGAATGCCATAGTGGCAACAGATGAATGAGGTGCCCTGTTTTTTGGAATGACAGTGAGAGCTAAGCCAAGCTGTTTTAAACAGTGGCTGTGGAGAGAGAAGAAGAGAAAACACGGGTTTTCACAGCAGTCTTTACCTGCAGAAAGTCAAACACCTATACTGTATGCCGCTATTCTGCAAGTTTGCTCTGTCCCAGGACGAACCGCCTGACACCATGCATGATACTAGTAACACTTAACTACTGTAGGTGAGAGGGAAATGAGTGAGTGAGAGAAGGAGCATTAAGGAGGCAGAGGACCTAGAGAAAAGAGGTAAGAGAGAAGAAGACAGACAGGTAGACAGAGCAGAAGTGGCAGAAGTGAGTGGATGTGTTCACCTGTTTGTGGAGAGAGATGTGAAGTAAGGTGACAGTGAGCCCCCACTGCTCTGAATTCAAATTAAAGCCTTGAACCTGTGGCCCCTCTGTGAGTTTGTAGAGGGTGAAATGTTGGGGATAGAGGGGAATTTTTTGTATGTGTTTCTTTATTTTTCTATCTGTAAATCCCCTGAGGTTTCTGGTGGCAGAGAAGAAGACCGTCATTGACGCATCTTATACTGTACCAAGTAGTGTGTTTTTATTATTATTAATAATAATACATTCCAAATGTAATTATATCATTCAGCCTATCTGACCTATTTGACTTCTGATGTTTTACATTAAACAAATTAAAGGCAATAATAATGGTGTCAAATCAGCAATGGTTTGATGTTAGTAGGTAAAAGAAACCACTCCCACACACCAAGAATTTGCCTCCTGGAGTCCGATGGTCCTCTGACCGTCTGAGTGGTATGACTGTGCGTGTGGTGTAGCTGAATGAATGTTTCAAGCCTGTAGAAGCTTTCTGCTCCCTCAACTGTCACTCCCCCCTTCTAACCTCCTGCCCGTCCCGGTGACCCCATATCCTCTTTGCTGTGCTGCTCTGTTGTAGGTTCAGATAATCACCAAAAAGCTGGACTTCAGCCATGTCACCTCGCGCTGTGGCTCCAAGGACAATATCAAGCATGTGCCTGGTGGTGGGAATGTAAGTATGGGGATTCCCTGGCCCTCACCTCACTTCCATCTCGCAGCCCTCAGGAGATTGGTGTGGCAATGTTTGCACTTCTACCAGCGTTCCTCTGACTCGGCTCCTCTGGAGCTGTGGAAGCAGGTTTAATTCATTTCTAGGGAAGGGTTACATTGGTCCAGTTAAGAAAATTAGGTCAGTGAACTCAAGTGGAATGAATGCCAGCCAGCCTGTGCCCTTTTGAAGGGTTGTCTCTTTCCTAGCTATTAAGACGTGAATGTCTTGTCAAAAAAATTTTTTTATTTTTTATTTGAGTTATTTCCTAATTACTATTGTCTTATTGAAGAAACCCTTGAATTATACAGTGCATTTTTTTCTACTACTCAAGAAATAACCCTGTTGCTAAAACATTTTGCAAACACTGGTCTGTTGTATCTTTCCAAATTTGTTCTTGCCAGCATCGATGTGGTAGATGGCAGAACTGCCTCACAAACACAGGGTCCTGAGCTTCATTCCAGCTTCTGGTACCTCTCTGGGAAGAGTTTGCAAGTTCTGTCAACATCCTTATAGATTTGTGCCAGGTGCTCTGGTTTATTCCCATCTCCTAATGACATGCAGTGAAGGTTGATTGGCTACAGTACAACTTGATGGCTGTGGGATTATAGAGAAACAGGACCATATGAGCTTTATGTGTCAAGCCCCCCCCCCATTATCTGTGGCTTTGTTGAGGTTCTGATTAATTCTTGCCCTCCAGGAGTTGTCTAAAAAGCTTTTCACCAATTAAGGAACATAGCTGAGAATGTCTGAGTTTCACACTGTAAGTGTTCTTAGTTCTTAAATGAAATAACCTGTTGCTCTTCCAAAATATAAGCCAATATGAGCGAACTTTTGAAGCTCAGTACATGATATGCTAATGCCATTTTGGAATCCCTTTCAATTCACTAAGAGCCAAAAAGGGAAAAACTAAAGTTTGAAATAAAAGGTCATCTTCACCAGAAGCTGTTGGGCAAAAGAGCCTCAAAGACTATGATTGAAGAATTTTGTAGTTAGCTTAGTTTCTGGCTTTTTCTATGCTACCTTGTGATTTTGCCGTTAATAAAATTATCCATTATCCAACTACACGGTGCTGCTGTGTTAGATATTTAGTGTGGCTTATCATGATCTAGTGTAGTGAAACATTGAATTGAAGGTCCTTAGAAGGTCAATTACTTGTGGTTGTGTTAGAAGTGCAAAATTACCATTACAATACATCCTGGTGAGCTTTTGTAGAGGTGCATCTATTAGAAGCCCCTGTAAAGGAGTGAGTGAGAAGCTCATCAGGGGTGGGTTAATGCCCACTATCTGTGCAGATCACATTTGCTATTCTCTCAACTTTTCAAACCATATATAGTAAAAATGATATTAATTGCATTTTAAAACATTTTGACTTCAGTCTTATGATCTGACCCCTGTTCCAGTGGAAGTGAGGTCCTCCCTAGTAACATTTCCTTCTGTAACTGTCTAGCCATTGACAGTCTGTATTATCTTCGCTGTAACCTACTTGCTGTTTCTGAGCTCTGAGCTGACTGCTTGTCTCCTGACTACATGTGCTCTAAACCATTTATGACTGAACTGTGTCCTATCTTGTCTGTATTGAAACCTCTAGTTGTTGCTGTTGTCTGACCGGACTGTTCCCTGACTGCTTGTTCTGTTTGTGGTCAAACCCATTTGTTGTTTCTGATCTCTCAAAGCTGTGCTGTCTCCTGTCCTGCTCTCCAGTCTGTTTTTTGTGATCTCCCTGAGTTATCCTTCCGGTCTTTACTGCCCGTGCTCTAACCTGCATGCTCACTGCTGCCCAGCTATGCTTGAGCAGTCTGTGTCTTGTCTGCCTGTGCTGTCTGTTCTTTAAACATGCATGCTGTATGCTGCCCAGTTCTGATTGTATGCTATGTCCCTCCTGGTGTCTCCCATTTTCTGTCCTGCAGTCTAACTTGCTTCCTATTACTAATCTGTCAGAAAGGAGTTTCTGGCATGCTTGTTGTGCCCCATTTCTTTCAAAGGAAAGACTTAACTCATGTAAAACATTTAAACTGGTTTATTAATAAGCTTTTTGAAAGGTTACAGTACATTAAGAAAACACTGAATCTGTGATGTGTTGCAAATATAATGGTGTTCTTAACAGCCCTGTTAGTTCTCTCTCTTTCTTGCAACTTCTATCATTTTACTGCAGAGAGCACTGCTACTCCAATCTGCATTAATTTCGCTCAGTCATAGAGATCAACAGTATACAGACACACAACCCTGTTCTCCTGACTCGTGTGAGGCCCACGTACTGTACAGTACAGGGCTTGTTTTGACTGTGGCACACTCTAGTGGGGATTCTGTTTCTGGACTGAATTAGGAAAAGGACAAGGGAAATGACATGCACTTCTTTCTTAAGAATTGTCCCTAGAATTCTGTCAAACTTTATCACCCTTCAAAAAAACATTATTTTCAAGATGAAAAGTATTTCTGATATTATTCTATAATAATGCAGCAGAGGTAAGTAATCAAGCACACAATGTTTCTACTAACACTGTAACTCTAAAAACACCATGAGCTCCAAGCGACTTGTGGAAACCTGTGTTTATAAAGTGCTATACTTTAATACCCTTAACTATTTTCTTGCGGTACTTGTCCAAATGAATTTAATAATTAGCTAACAGGTCTGCACTACTCTGTGTAGCTCTAAGGCTACCTCTGGTTTTATCATAGTAGGAGCATCCAGGTCCAGGGTAACCCAATCCAGTCCTAGGGTACTGTATCTCCCTGCCAAGTGTCCGTGGCAGTGTGGCTCTGGTGTTACTTAAATTGCATCCCACACTAATCATCTGTGATGACCATATCACAGGAAAGCATTGTGTTTTATATTGTTGCAAATAAGGGATCTAACTATGAAAGTAGTAAGGTGTAATAGTAATAGGTGATGTGAATAATTTAGTAAAGGGAGGTTACAATTATTAGAATCAAAATATCTAATCAGGTCCTGACACTAGCCAGTTTTGCAAGAATAATTACAAAGATGAACAATCATACTTGTTGTGCAGGAGTACCAAGCATTCAACAGTGTTTTTTTTCCTCTGGCACGGTGTTGTAATAAATAACCAAGTGACAAAACTTAAAAAGGACAAATATCCATTTACAGTAAATTAGAGATAGACAAAGTTCACTACTCCTATGTACAGATATTTAAAAATCTGTTTATCGAAGGTTTGCTTACTGCATAAACATAAAATTGGCAAACTGCATAAGGAAAATAGGTAATCTGTCTGTCATCCAGTGAAAGAGCCTACTTGGGATGGCATTTCTCTCTAAACAAGATGCTAAATAAATGGAAACCTATGGTCCTATTCAAATTCATTTATCACTACCAAAAGGAGAGATCTTTCTAGCCTGGTGGCTACCACAGATAGGAAATCAGTAATTCAACAAATATAAAATAACAGTCCCTTGTTTAAGGCATGGTGTCGGTTTCTTCAGTGCTCTGCAGTTCTGGTCTGTGAAGGAGGAATCAACCTCACAGCACAGTTTTCTTCCAGTCTGGCTTTTGTTTCCTTCTGTCCTCTATTATTTCCATCCCCTTCTCGATGTGCACTTTTATATGTCATGGAGTTCATTATGCCTCAGTCCCGCCCCCCATGAAGGCTGACTTACAGTAAGGGTATACTGTAACTGCAATTGTTTTTTTTTTTCAGAAATTAGTATAATGGTCTGACTATGTCCGACATCCGAAGACCAAAGGGCAGCTGTACAAAAAGCAAAAAAGGCCCTTTGATTTAATTTACAGAATAAGATACTATAATGTGAAATTGAAACTTTAGGATAACTCTAAACTCACAGCTATCTATTAATTTTTAAAGAAGCACTAAATCTTATATTTAAATGTAAGCCCATTGAGTGAATCTTTGATGATGTGCTGCACTCAGTGCTGAAGTCTGTTTTTAAAGGTGGATTTCAGTTGTAATAGGTCCTTCAATGCACTGAAGCAGTAAAATCCACCCATCCAAGGTGGAAGAAATAGAAAATTGCTGTGGCTAAAACAGAAATTATCCAATATGTTGTGCCTAAAACAACAAGTATTAAATTGTTTTTATATTACAGCCACACAACTTACAGTCTGTTGTTTTATAATTTACCTGAGAGTTTTTGAATATTCTGATTAAAGATTTGAATTGCATTTTTTTCATATGCAAGCTGAGCAAGTCCTTTACATCAACAGCAGAATCAAAGATTATGTGACAGGCCCCACACAGTTATGTTCACCTGTTGCCAGATTTTTGCAAAGCCTGCCAAGTGGTTGATTAAAATCCAAGTTTAGTAGCCAACACGTAGCAGTTTTATAGATTAAGCATAACAACTTTCCAGACATTGCCGAAAAGCTCATACTGTAATTGCAACAAAACAGTGTTTGATAGCTGTTTTTTTAAGGTTGCCACTATTGTTATCTGTGACCCATTAACAGTGTCTAAACAGTTCAAAACAGTAATGTCATGGACAGAGCTTGATTGATCATATGATAATGAGGGAGGCCTAGCATTGCATTCTGTTGAATAAAATTTAGAGATAATTCAGTACGTCTCCAGGAACTACACTCTGACTAGAGCCAGAAAGAAGGGGGAGCATATTGTTTTACTTGGTGGGGTTTGCTCATTTGCTCTTGGCTGACATTTTGTTTTAACAGACTATTGTAGCCATTCTGTAGTAATGAACCAAAGTGCCAAATGTGATGTTTCTGGAGGAAATCTTGTAAATGTGAAGTGAGACATTGCATAAAAGCATCTCTTGCAATGAACTTCGATCTTGCAGGCATTAGGTATGAACACATAATTGGAGCAGGTATGAAATGAACAACATTAAAGAGGTATTGACATTAGTGAAATCAGTGCAACTGGTAAGAGTCTGAAACAGTAATGGTAATATGTTGCAGAACCAGTGATCTAACATTTTTTGACAAAGTAAAGGGACTTTGGCCTACGTTCCTTCATCACAGACATGTAGAGTCTGTGAAATTAGACATCACAGTCTTAACACTTCAAAGTATTTGTCAACATTAACAAGAATGGGTAAGATAAGGTCCTAATTAGGACACTGAAGCAGAGGTTGGGGTGTGAATAGAGATCGATTATGATGTTAGAAGACATTGAAACTGGTATCATACATATTTTGTTTAGTAAACAGCTAAATGTTATGATCACATTTTCCACATTTGTCTTCTTTAGGCTAGAGAGCTTGAATCAGCTTTAATGGGCAAATAGACTTTTCCTAGATGAATTAAGAATTAAATCATATTAAGCCTCACTAGTACCTTACTCGTGTTCATGGGTATCATGCCAATATGCAATTTGACTAAGTGGAGATGGTAGGAGAATTGAATGCCTTTAGATAAGGTCAGATGAAAATCTGTTTAGGCCACTGAGGTGTTATGTGGCCTTGTCTAGACAAGTGTTGCTCCAAGAACATTACATTTTGTGCAGTGAAATACAACTGAAATTTCTTGAAGAATATTGAACTATTTCCAGACAAACAAAACAATCTGTGTTTTCTTTTGCTAGAGATATCTATATACTAGTATATCAGTATCTCAAAGAAAAATAAAAGCCTTTTCCTGCTTCCATCTACTGGTTTCTTGCAAGACGGTGTAATGATATGTACAGTATCCTCTGTTCTCTGTGTTTGTATGTGTGTAGTCCTGTACTGTACATGAGGGTAATAATTACTAATTAACATAACAGTAAGATTACTTGTATTATTCCTGATAGTAAAATGAGCTGTTGATTTTGAAACCATTAAGTTCCTTTTCTTTGTTTGGTTAAATAGAGAAGTCACAATCTATCTTTCCTCAAAATATCTTAAATGGCCATTTTATACTGTAGCTATCAAATGTTTCATCCTGTCTTTGTACAGTGTGTATTAGATGGAGGTGTCTGAAGTTCTGTTGTCCCTCCGACAGGACTGTACACTGGGTTCTCACCCCTCTGTTTCCCACACAGATTCAAATCCTCAATAAGAAGGTTGATCTCAGCAAAGTGACATCCAAGTGCGGCTCCAAGGCCAACATCAAGCACAAGCCAGGTACAGCAGTGGCTGGCTGACTGCGTCTTTGCATTGTATGCCTGTTGCTATGGCTGTGCCCTGTCAGTCTCTTGAAGGTAATGACGGTGACATTAGTGGTGTTTCTCCTGTAGGAGGAGGAGAGGTGAAGATTGAAACCCACAAGGTGAGCTTCAAGGAGAAGGCCCAGTCTAAAGTGGGCTCCATGGACAATGTGAGTCACGAACCAGGGGGCGGAAATATAAAGGTGAGGGGGACTGGGCATGGGTCATAATGTCCGAGTCCCACACATAGCACTGCAGTCTCAACACAACCATTGACACAACATTATTGGCATATTTTACAATAACTTGAAAGAAATTAAAAATGTATTATAAACTAGGTCTCTAATTTTCTTAATTCTTCAAAATCATTAATTATGTTTATGTTACAGTTATCACATTCTAATATTAGAGAAAGTAAAAATCCCAGTTGTACACTTATATGTAATGTGCTTGTAGACTGTATGTACCAATCGGCCAGAAAGTGTTCCGCCATAGTCTCCTGAATATATTGGCAGTAGAAAGAGTCAATATGACTGCAGGCTAGGATCTGTGTGAGTCTATGTTTCTAACCTCAACAGAGTTTTTGTTTTATTCTGAGACCATAAAAACAGAACATGCAATATTACTACTTTTTTTTGCTATGACATATTTTGTATAGAAGTCTCCATGTCTATGTCGCTTGACTATATTTGCTGCCATTTGGAGTACTTTTCTTGATTAGAGGCTTTTGTACAAATTCAAGTAAAATTGGTTTAATTTGTGAAGAAATTAAAGTATTCAGAACTGGCACACATTAGGGCTTCAAATACTATATATAGTGAAGCATATGGTATAATCTTTTGTACCTTTGGTACTGCTGTATTAAATGGACACAGGTGTGTTAATGGGAACAGCTCATGTCCTGGAGAGCACAATGCTAGTTTAGCAGACCCACACCTCCCCACTCCTTTCCTTCATACCCAGGATTGATGAGTTCCTGTTGAGACCAGCACCAGACTCTGAGAGCTGATGGGATATAGTAGCTCACAGTTCACATTTCAAAGTTTTTTTTATTCTTTGTGAAAATTCCATTGAAGGAATGGAGCTGATCTGGTCTGTGGAGTGTATGGACTGTATCTCTCTTGTGCCTTTGTTTCTCCCTCCCTATGTGTCAGACCCGATCAGCTGCCTTGTGCCTGACTAAATGAAGATTTGAGACATTGTCGTTCAGTATTCTTTCTTTTGGTTTTAACTGTTATTCATCACATTTCTAATGCACAGTTGATATTTTAATGTGTTGTCATTTTCTACAAATGGCTCCATACATGTGCTTTTTTTAATTGTACCAATGTTTTCATTTCTGTTTCTATCATTGGGTTTGCTCCTGTTGTAACTCCATTCCCACAAGTTCTCACTGGAGATCTTATTATGGACCTGGGTCAATAACTGAACTCATGGTTAGAAAGGGAGAGAGATTGGGGAAAGTGAGTACTATGCAATAGGAACATGGAGGGAACAAAGGTTGATTGTCAGGAGCATACCCTATGCATCATTTTCCTGAACTTGAACTCCAAGGCTCTCTCTGCACACACAACAGACTTGCTTATCAGTGCCAAAACCTGGGTGATGTCACCTGTCCCCTCAGCCTATGGCAGCCCATTCCCTCTATCACATGATCACTATTACCATGGCTACATTTCTCATCACTTTGCTCACTTCATACACACACATGCTGAGTAGTTTGTGAGATGAGGTGTCATCGTTAGGTGTACAGGCTTGTCCTTTGTGTTACAAAAGAGCAGAAGTAGTTGTGTGTTCATAATATTTTGATTTTGCTGCTGAACTTCAAAACTATTGTCTGATAATGACTTAATCCTGATCAGTAGCATGGAAATGAATTTGACTGTTAGTTCCTGGTTCATCCACTTGGGCAGTCACTCAGATGGAGGACACTAATAAAGGGGCAAGCAAGGGTCATTGTTTATTATACAGTTTCTAGGTTAAAATGCACAGTGTTTGATTTTTCAGTAGATAAAAGCACATCCGAGGCTTACAGAGATGAGCTATCATATGTTTGTTATTGTAATTAGACAGCATGGAAACGCAGTCATTGTGACAGTGCCATTGCTGTTTAAAACCTCAGGTTGGTCAGTCTACGGTAAGTAGATCCAATGTGACAAGCTGCTGTTCATGATTAGGATTTCAGTTCTTATTATCACAGAAGAGAGACTGCAATAAAACCAAAATCATTAAAGAAGTTATTTTTAAAAAAATAATGCCCAATTATTAGCACTTTTCTCTGAAGCACCTGTGTCTCTGATTAAACTGTGGAATTTAATAAAAGCATAATAACAGTGCTTCTGGATTTACTTATGGTCCAGTGTGATGTAAATTGTGACATTTGTGAAGGATATTAACTCCCAGTAGATGCAGCTTGATGCAACTGCAAAATGAATGAAGTTGCTGTTACAACCAAAAAGAAAGCTCTCAACTTCCAAAGACCAAAGTTTCTAAATCCATTTTTCATTTTTGTTCTAGTTTTTCATTAGTTATGCTGTAAATTGTCCATTGCTCCCTTAGATTATTGATTAAAATGAGCTCAGCCATTGAGGTTTCCCCATACATGAGCTGTGTAGTGGTGTCTGAGCTAGGGCAGGTTGTAAAGAACAGAAGTCACTTTAAGTGAGGGCGATAGTTTGTAAGTTCAGATCAAAAAGTTTTTTATCACAGATCTATTTCATATGGTTTTGTGAAGAGGAAAATAAAGAGGCAGAAATGAGTTCAGTTCAGTTACTGTTCAAGTACTTCGATAGTTTTCTGAATTTCTTTTGTAGTGCGCAATACCTCAGTGTTTGAGCTTTAGGCTGCATTGGGTTCAGCAGCTCAGTGTTTTGAATCTGATAGGCTTGGTTTTATTTTGACTGCTATTGTCCAGTTTTGTCTGTTGACAGTCATACCACTCCATCCTCACCACCCCCTAACCTCTTTTGCTCTGTGGGTCTTTAATTCAGCTCAGGGTTCGAATAAATTGATGCCTCCAACATAGAGCTTGCTCTTAAGCCAAGCCTCTCTTTATTGCGCATCACACAGCTGCAGTGTCGCAAACTTCAATCACTGATGTCATTAATAAGGGGGTTTGCATATTCAGGAGAAAGAGAAGTGACCCATGTATAGAATTGCTCCAGCCTGAATACTGTCTCCCTGAGCTCCTATTCTCATCAAAAATTAAAATTATATCTGGACGGACCCCAAACAAAACGCACAGAGCTCCATAAACTATACATATAAATAGTATGTTTTTATCAAACTGTTCTGCTATTTCTAATAGCTGATAGTCTTTGAAAGAAAACTCAACATACTGTAGAGTGGTTTGTGTGTTTTTTCATAAAACACACTTCTTTACGTTAACCCTGTGTGATGTACAGTGATATAAAGAGAAACAAGAGATTATTGTACAAAGTGACCATACCCACCCATGCAGAGAATGTACACCTGTAAACAGCAGTGTGCTTTCTTACGAAAACATTCCCCCTCTGAAGCAGAAGTAGGCTTGGCCTCCTGGTAGCTGATTGATCTGTTTTTTACAGAGTGTGATAGGACTCCATGTGTACCGCTGTATACGTTGTCCAGATGGGTCCTTATTTTGCACATCAATATTGGTAATGCTACAGTATGTAATGGAGGAGCCATTTCACACATTTCACACAGATCCTGTTGGCCATTGTGGACAGGATGTTTTTTTTTTAATCAAACAGTATCATTTGTTTCCCTCTGGCTCACTCCTGAAGACCCTACAGATGGCACTTTTGGCTGTGTGATTGAACCCTGATGGTTTTCTCTATTTCTGTTTTACCTTTTCACTCCCCTCCCATCCCTCTCCGCTCCATCCCATTCCCATCCTCGTATTGACACCCCACTGTCCCCCGTTCTGTGTTTCTAGGCTGAGGGGGCGCAGGAGGCAGGAATGGGAGATGGGGCTCCTGTTAATGGCGCCCTGGCCCAGGCGCTGACAGGGAGCGTGGCACAGGAGAATGGCATGAGGGAGACCGTGCCCTGCGGGGGCGACGGGCACAGGGACTCCCAGGGCCTGGACTCACACATCCCTGAGACAAGTAAGTGTGCCCCCTCCCCCAAATTCATGCTCTCTCTCTCTCTACCATGTTGGGACTGAACTGAGCAAGCCCCCCACCCCTGGTGCTGAGGGAGCTGGAGGAATTTCAGCCTGGATACCTGCCTCCATAGGCTCGCGCTGCCCTGGGCAGTGTGTCAGTAATGCGTCTCAGATCACAGTCCTCCAGGCAAGCTTAGATGGCCTTCCCTCACAGCAGCCCAGGATCTTCTGAAAACAGCACACACCCCTTGTCTTCAAAAAACATATCTGTGTGACTCCCTTAGTTAGCTTTGCTGAAATCAATTACCAAAATCAGCGTGAATGTGAGAGTAACTTTGAGTCTCCCAGAAGCCTCCCAGCCTTTTGTTAACATCACTGGACATTGCAGCTGAGCTCAGCGAAGTTACTTCTGTCCAGATCAATTCAGACTGCAGGTGTCCAATCAGATCCTGAGAGGCTGTTGAAAATGTAGAGTCAAAAGTGCGGCTCAGGCAGTGCAGCCTCTCCTGCTGAGGAGTTTGCACACTGCATCAATGCACCAAAACCTTCCCCATCAGTGAGGAGGGACATCCACACAGCTGAACTCGAAACACTGGGGATCCCCACCACTTCAGGCTCATCATCTTCAGTTGAGTTATTGTCTTTATTTGCTCACATTGGCTGATTTTATTTTTCTACAGTGGTTATGTAACACATAGCAAACCATTTTTAATGCATGGGGGGGAAAACGCATACAGGCTTCTCTGCTTTAATGCGATAGATGCATTCCTGTAAAACCTTGCGTTATGCAAAACCGTGCAATAAAAATAACAGGATTTATGGGAAAAATAGGAAATTTTATCACCAGCACGCCTCTTAGACACATTCTAGTCACCTCCTCCACTCATATTTACAGCAATGCAGAAGATTTAGTGAAAATAGTACAAGAATTGAGGAGCACCTCCCAATTAGCACTTCCAAAACAAAGCATAGCTGAGCATCATGTGCATTTCTCCACAGACCGCCTCGTTCAGCTGTGTTACTCCACCATGCAAAATGTAACCATGTCGGGGAAGAAATCGCATATAAGCCAACACGTGTTTCACTTTATACAGACATCTGTCCCCTATTTACTAATCGTGTATGAGCCAATTCACGTTTTAGAAACTCGCATAAAGTAGAGATCAGTGTATTGTCCCAAGATCAAAATCCACGTATGATCCTCTGAGGTGGTGAGAAGTGTTCAATTGAGAAGTGATGTTCAGCTTCAAGAGCTAAACTCTCCTAAAAAAACAGTGCGTGGAAAGTGGGAAAGTGGGGAGCTAATGTATTCCTCCACAAAGTGACATAAGTCTATTGCTGTGTGTTACACTATCACTCTCCCAGGCTATAGCTGTGTCTGCATTCCCCTTTGTGTCTACTGGTGACCAGGCCTCTCTCACTGTCACTGGAAACCACAAAAGACTGCAGAGCAGCTTTATTTTCATCTGTCCTCATACACTTTTAGTTCTGTTGTGTTGTTGTTTTGTTTCTGTTTTCCGTTCCCCTGACCCAAGAATCTGTGTTGACTTTTATTTTTCAGGCATTTAACCCTGCTTTGTGCTGTCACTTTACCCTCTCCAACCCCATCCGCGATCCATCTCTCTCTCCCCCTCCCTCCTTGCTGCCATCCCATTTTCCCTTTTTTCTCTCTCTCTCGTCTTTCCCACTCCTCTTTCTGCTGCAGATTGAATCTCACAGGCTGACGTTTCGCGAGAACGCCCGGGCACGCACGGACCACGGCGCAGACATCATCTCTCGCTCCACCCTGGGCAGCAGTTCTACCCCCCCGCACCGCAGTGTCTCTCTGAGTGACTCTCTGGGGTCCTACAGCCTCCTCCGCTCCCCCCCAGCCCCCCTCACGTGACTACACTGGGACAGGGGGACAGCGGGTTTCTGGCAGGACAAGGAACTTGATTTCAACTCCCCATTACCGCCTGACACACTACCCCTCCCACTCCCCTTGTCACCATCTCTCGTTTGTTTGCTTATGCAGTCTTCTCTCTCAGTCTGCTTCCTTAATTCACTCTCTTTTGAGTTGTGAGGTTAAGAAACCAGGAGCTCCATGGCAGATAGCTCTTGAGCTGGGGTAATGTGGCCATGCGAGAATAGCCTGGGGGTTTCTGAGAAGCCACTGTCCCTAAAACACCTTGACCTAGTTAGATAGGCTGTATTTATTTATAGACCCTATCTTTCCTGGGCCCAACTCCCTCATCCATGGTATAAACTCAGGACAAATGCTGTGCCGCATAGAGCATGACCTTAACAGGCACTGGCAGTATCTGAGTCTTAGACCCTGGGCCAACACCATCCATTTGAGAGTACACACCCATGGTCATACCCTGCCCTGTCTGCACCTCAGACCTGCTTCTTATATCAGCAGTGTAAAACCTAGAGAGGTAAAAATCTATTTGCCTTTTTCCATCAGCTTGCTAGTGCTCGTATAGCGAATGACTTGTGCACTTTTACCCGTTAACTCAAAAACATCCTGAGGTGTAGAAGTGATCAGAGCAGCGTTCCCCCCATAACAGTCTGCCTTGTTGAGTAGTCATGCAACCCCTGAACTCATGACTTGTTCTCCCACCTCACAACCCTCACACCACACTTCACTCTCCCTCCCACAAACAACACTCATGGCTCCTAGCATATGTAGACTATTTACTACATTTGAACTGTAGACTTCATACTTTAAATTCTGTGTTTTGTGGTGAAGTGTTTTGAATAATTAATGTAACAATGACCTGTGCTATGTTAAGACTTGTTTTTTTTTATTGTATATGTATTTCTCTTGAAGCAATACTATGGTCCTTGCTCAAGGTGGGAGAATGCAGGCATGCACATGTTAGACAGTGCACAGATATTCAGATACGTTTCCAGTTAGACGGCTTGTAGACCCCAGCCTTGCATGCTGCAGTGTGTGAGGGAATGATGCTTCTGTAAGGGTTATGCTTTATGGAGAAAGGTTAAAGGTCATATGACCACTTGTCTGAGAAACTAAATCTAAAATCACTAATACATTTTCTGACATAACTAGATTAGTCAGATATCCCACAGACACCATCATACTAAGATGTAAGGAGGAAATGTGTTATGCAAACAAGCATCTGCACATTAGAAATTAACCAAAGCACACAAGGACATCAGTAATAAAATGTGATGGTTGTTTGTAAAAATATTTAGTTTCGTTGGAGAAGTGTCTATAAGTCCTTTAATAGAGCATGTCGCTGCTGGAGTTGTGAAGAAAGAATCACTGATATAGACCAAAAGATGGAAGTAAAGATTAATGATGGTAAGTGCAGATGAGCTCATTTCTGCAGTGACCAGCTCGCTGCAGGAGATCTTAATTCTAGTATTTGTAGGGTATGTTTTGGTGACGATGTGTAGCTATCACTGCTGTGGTGGTAGAGTGCATTGAGGAGAGACAGTTGAGTTGTGTTGAGTTGAAGGGAGACAGATGGTTGAGATGCAGAGCAGAGCTGAGTTCTAGAGATATTCCACCAGTTTCTCACACAGGGGTACAGCCCAGTGCGGCACTTTTTCCAAACCTGGGGTCCTATATTACATACGCACTTCCCGTCTACTGTGTTTGTCTGCACAGTGCTGTTTTCTGCTTTACCTCCTCAGTCAGGCTCTGCACTGAATTAACGCACTGAGACCCAGTATAACACCAGCACCACCCAGAAACTGGCGGCTGTACAACTTAAAACATGTCTCGGTATATAAATTCACCTTAAAGCATTTTGAACTAGGAGATATAATAGTGCTATAATTAAAAAAGTATCATGACAACAATATGCAGACCAAAGATATAGTCTGGAGTGGGGTAATCAGATGTCTTATTCTTTTTATTATGTTTTAGCACTATATAAAGTGATAGTTTTGTTTTGTAGCTCTTTGCATTCATTTCTGGCCTTTCAATAGCTGCTATTCACAAACATTTGTCCCTAATGTTACAGCTTGTCCACTACAGGGTTAGTGTTGTATAGTTGTTAGAGTCAGGACATGGAATTTATTTTTCTGGTGAAAGTCTCAGTCAGAGCGCAGGTGTCCTGGTGACACTTACCACCAATACTGGGTCTCCTGTCTAACAATGAAACAGCAAATGAAACATTTTCTGTTTCAAGAGTTACCTGGCTAAAGCACAGCGGAACATTTTGCTGTACTAGATGTGTAGTATTGAATTGCTGTTCTGTTGGATCTAAGTAGCTGAGTTGAACTATTTCATGGTCCTTTTAACCAGAAGGGAATGGTGAACTCAGCAGAATGCAGCTCTGTTCTGTGATGAGGTGGAGGACATTGGAAGTGATGGAGGGAAGGAGAGGGATGGGGGTGTACTTCATGTCTTGGAACAGACACCTCTCTTAGATCTTGGTGCTGAAGTGCACCAAGTGATGTAGGAGAAAGCTCTTCCCTTTAGTTTAAATTAAAGTAAGGCAATAAAAGTTTTGGCACTACCAGTGATCAAAATGAACTTGGGAGAGAAGGGGAGATAAAGCTGTAAGATAAACTGTTTCACTTGCTAACTGCTTGTCTAAAAGTGCACATTACAGTAGGTACAGTTGTCTCCAAATGTAATCATACCGTTGATTAAGTTGAATTAGCAAAGAGAAAACAGCTGTGTGTTAAGTATTTTTAAAAAATAAAAACAATATGGCCATCAGCAGAATGCAGCTCTGTTCTGTGATGAGGTGGAGGACATTGGAAGTGATGGAGGGAAGGAGAGGGATGGGGGTGTACTTCATGTCTTGGAACAGACACCTCTCTTAGATCTTGGTGCTGAAGTGCACCAAGTGATGTAGGAGAAAGCTCTTCCCTTTAGTTTAAATTAAAGTAAGGCAATAAAAGTTTTGGCACTACCAGTGATCAAAATGAACTTGGGAGAGAAGGGGAGATAAAGCTGTAAGATAAACTGTTTCACTTGCTAACTGCTTGTCTAAAAGTGCACATTACAGTAGGTACAGTTGTCTCCAAATGTAATCATACCGTTGATTAAGTTGAATTAGCAAAGAGAAAACAGCTGTGTGTTAAGTATTTTTAAAAAATAAAAACAATATGGCCATCAGTATTTTATCAAAAACTTGCCTATTAAAAATATTGTCTTACATTTATAAATGAATGTTCAGATTTCTTCACACCCCAGTGATCTGTATTTAGTATTTAATTCCTCCTTTGGCTTTGATAACCTCAAAAAGCCATGCCATGTTGCCTTTTTTATAGGTTCAGGCTTTACTAAAGTGAAGTTTTTGACCACTCCTCTCTGGAGTACCTCATTAGATTGAGTAGCTTATATTAGTAATGTGCTTTCTTCAGTTCCTGCCTAGCTATTGTACTGTCGTGTTGGAAAGTCCATGTGTGACCAAACTTAATCTTAGAAGATTTCAGAGGTAGGTTCAGATATAAAGTAATCTGTCCATCCTTCAGTTTTAACAAGGACACCAAACAAGTAACAGTCGTGAAGCAGAACAGAACATCTTTTTTGATGTTTTGAGGGTCATGGTATTCTTAATATCAGCCCCAACTCTCTGCACCAAACATACTGTCAACAGGAACATCTGAAAAGCAGAATTTACACCATTCAACCACCATATATGGTTAGGAGGTCTTTAATTCCTGTTTGCTGAGGTCTATTTTACGTTGCTATCCAAATCTCCTGCAGACACCTATTTTATGAGGTGAACATTGAACAGTATTCTTGGAGATATCCTGGTAATTCTAGTCTTTGGTGAAGTTTGGGCTTTCAAAATTACTTTTAGGAGCTCTTTTGGCAAACGGTGCTTGTGTCATCTTTTAGAGCAACAACCAAGCAATCAGCCTTGGATATCTTGATGATGGACACTAGTTATAAAATGATCAACATCCAGATTGCAAATTTTTTTATAGTCAATAAGTCACAGGTAGTTATCCTTTTGTATGAGATCAGTTGATTCTCAGACTTCACCCACAGTGGCAGGTGGATTTGACTGGATGGCTCTGTGTGCAGCCTAAACAGAATTTTCATGAAAATATAAGATGACCATTAACATTAGTGGAGAACAGTAATGGTTGTGTTGATATATTTAGAGATTAATGAAAAACCTTCAATCATAAGGTTATAGTGTATTCAACAACATGTAATTATTTTTGACAGTTGTCCTATTTATACACAAAACACTTTATTTTTTTAACATTTGATTAGAAGAATCTCAATGGTCAGCTGTAGTTTTTTTGCTAAATTAACTTTTTAAGGGTCATGAACAATTTGTGGATCTCTGACCTTCCCCTTCTGAAATGCACTGCAACTCATTTTGTGATCTGTAATGACATGACAACCTGTAGTTGCGTGATAAATGTTTCTCAGAACACATTTTTAAACTGACACTCAGGAGTGACAACATAGACCTGGTAGCAGTGTAAACCCTGAGTTAATTTGTAACATTGCTCATGCTGTTTTGACAGTAGCTTGATTGGGGGTGGCATTACGAGCTGTGAAGAGGGATTGGGCTGTGAAATCCATGGTGGGGACTCCAGACAGACCGACAGTAGAGCCTTGCACGGGACTGACCAGAACTGAAGTTCGTGCTGAGCTGACGAGAAAATACCCCGATGTCAGGGGCTGAAGGGCAAAGAGTTATCAAAGTCAGGACAGCTGAGAGAGAGGAGAAAAGAAAGAGAGAGAGAAGTTGACCTGGAATCTAGACGAAGGAGAGAGGGACGGGAGAAGGCAAGAAAGAGACACAGCCTCTCCTTGCTGCAGCTCCTGCTTTCTCTCCCCATCTGTTTATACTGAACTTTCCGAGTCCAGTGGAAATGAATTGGTTTACTTCATTGATGGACACTAACACAGCAGTGCATTTCATACTGTAGTATAAGTAGTTCTTCACAGTTTAAAAACCAACCTCTGACTGAACAGGACAGGTTACAGTTGGCATGTGTCACTCAGGCAGAACAAACAGGTTACTGAGAAGTACAGTATCTTGTAAGAGAAAACTGTTGGGAGAGAAGCATACAGTGTTAAGTCATACAGCTTAAAATTAACTTCACACAGTATGTGCAGTGGGTTTCCCAGGTTTGAAGGACAGAGCAGATGGATTGTCCTCCCCGCTTTCCCTGGAAGAAGCAAAGAGCAGCAACATAATGCTAAGAGCTCCATTGTAATAAAGTTTTTAAAAATGGCAGGCGGTTGTTGCAAATCTCTCTTCTGGGAAATAACCAGTCTGAACAAAATGCAATAATTTTCTTGTTTTCCAAGATGAATTGAGGTTGAAGACGCTAATTTGAATGATGAGACGTTTGTAGATATTTTTTTTACAATGTATATATATGATCTATTTTTTAGTCTAACACTAGCGAGAATGGTTGTTGTAAACCTGTCTTTAGTTCCCTGATAGCGAGTCTGCTCAGTGACTAAATTTTAGGCGTTTCATACGTGAATTTCAATGTTGTGATTTTTGGTGCCACGGTCATTCTCAGACTTCTTGTTGTGCCTGTTTTGCGGCCAATTTTACCGTTTTGTACCATCCCTAGTTTCTAATGCTGCTTTGCATATCCTCACAGGCGTATAGGAATATATGCATTTCTATTTATATAGACACTATAATAAACACACTGTTTTTTTTTTGGTTCTCTGTGGCTGCTGAGTCCAACTCTTGACTTTCATGCACCTTGATCATTTACAGAGGCTCTTTCAAAGCTATTTCTGCCATTTCAAGAGCTGCAGTTAAAGAATGTTGTTTTAACAGATGTATACAAATCTGCACGATCTGTGTTTTGTTGATAAGTGCAGTGTCAGCAGGGGTGGGGTAGGGGGGTTGGCAACGTGTGTCTTGGGGGTCCAGGCAGAAGGGTGTTGTAACCACTCCATAGCCCCATTCCTTCCTCTCAGAGTCTTAAAGTACTGGATCTGCATTTCGGGGCTCAGTTTCTTAGCCTCTCAAAAAGGGATTGAATAAATGAATCAGGAACTTATGTATTTAATTAATGTGCCACTGGGGAATAGAGGGCCCTGAAACATGGGGAAAGCTGAACCTTTTCACCAACAAAAGAGATTTCCCCCGTGCACCTTTGACAAGCTAAATGCAGTCGATCCTTCAGCACACGTCGCCCTACCCCCAGCCCTCCCCACACACGGCCACTGACTGCCAGGACATCTTCCAAGCTCCTGTGCGAGAGCTGCGCGTGTCGTCAGTTGGCTTGTGTGTTATTTCAAGGCTCCAGTAATGCTGCAGGGAGCCCCCTAGGCCTGCTTCTGCTACGAAAGTGCCCAGAATGTATAAAAATCCTGATGGAACAAAGAATAATAAGAGTGCAGAAGGCAATGGCATATGTTTGATAAACCCGTATTCGTCATTTACAGGGTTCTATTGTGATTTTTTTTTGTTTGAAAGAAGTGTTTATTGTGGTTAATTGTTAACTAGTGATGTGACTATTAAACCTGAATAAAGGAGAAATAGAAGAAATTGCTGTGCCTGTGTGTTACATGTTGTTTTTTTTTATAATTGTGCCAGACTCTCTGGAATCTCCAACAGGCTGTGAGTTCCATCAGGTCTTTGGAGTCAAAGGAGGACTGAGGCCTGGAGACAAAGATGGGAGTAAATGCCTATCCTCTTCTACTAGGGGGAGCTCTGCTTTTGGTTATATATTGCAATATAATTATGAATGCTAAGATGTGTTCTAAAGTGTGTGTCGGAATGTAAAACCAACAAAAAAAAAAAGATCCTCCTTGAAGCAGATAAGCTCCATTTTTCTTTAAATAAGGTATTTCTCTTTGGAGAAATAATAAAGTAATTGGAATGGATAAGAGGGAGAATATAAATGATTGCAAGCTTTGGAATAGTGTGATGAGAAACAACAAATAACTCATGCTGAAAAGAAGAAACGCAACATTTCGGCTATGGAGCATTCTTCAGGTTTGAACACATAACCTAATATGGTTAATTAAAAACTACTGAATGGTAAACAATTTCCTATGCCAAGCTTTTATTTCACCTGTCCTGTAATACCTCCCTCTTGGTGTTAACTTCAGGTGTTGAGTGATCGATTGCTCAGTGTGTTCTGTGCTGGAGTTATGCGTCTGTGGTCCAGGATCACAGCGGGAGACTGTAGAGTTGTTCCCACATACTGGAGCACCACATGAGTCACCCTCAGGAAGCAAATATGCAATCCTAGAAGCCACAGCTTGCTCAATATTTATTGGAAAAAAATGCTGTACAGAATAAACATCACAGAGAGTTTAATAACACACTCTATAAAAGGGATACAGTCATATAATGACTACAGACTACAGCGCAGGTTTGCACAGGAGCTCTGACACACACAGTTTGTCTGTCCAAGTCTGTGTTGTGACCTTTTCTTCAGGGCATGTTCAACGTTTTGACAAGTCTCCCCCTGAAATACAAGCACAGTTACGCCCCAAGGTTAGTGAACCACATTCCCTGACCTGGTGTACACTGACATGCTTACTGGGCTATTACTATTCTCACTCTCTTTATGGAGCTTATGGAGCACAGTGAAAAGTCTTGGGACAGTGAAGAGAAAGTTGTTTTTGCCATGCACTAATGGGATTTCAGCAAAAATGACATTTGTCACAAAATACTGTATACAATAGTCTAAAATCTAAAATAGTGTGAAGTATTTTCAGGGGTTATTTGAACATGTAATTCCTGAAAATACTTCTCATTTGTTAAATATGGACTTAGCAATTCTGGTTTGCTGGATCTTAATGCCCTTGAATGTTTTACAAACTTAATTGCATCATGAGCAAGCTATTTTTTTATATTTACAGTCTTTTGTATGGATTTATTGAACATGGATATTTAAAGTTACACATAAAGTACTATAAAATGTAAAATTTACTGAAAGGTTTCATGAATATTAATTCTTAGTTACTGTAGGTGTGGAAACTACAGTCTGAAAAGGATGTTTGAAATGCAATCGGTAGTCCCTCTGTTCATGTACAGTACCTCTTTAACTTCCAGATTGAACTAATTCTTGTCCTGGTTTGATCCGTGTAACATTTCCTAAGATTTCCAGTGGTCTGCAGTTCCCATTGTTTTCAAGGTTAGGTACCTCTTTACAATTTTTCAAATCATCGCATACTACTGTTTTTACTCTCCTCTAGATCTAACAATTACAAATAGGTTAAATGCTTACAGTATTTGTCACCTTAACAGATTCTGAAGCATTGCTGTGGCTGCCTGTGAACTTGTGTATGTGGGGTAGTTCAATAAGGCTGATACTGCTTTCCTGATGTCGAAAATGGGATGTCAAATTGGAGTGATTACAGACTTAAGACTAAATCTTGATTCCACATTTCTCTTTTCTCTTTCTCCATCACGCTCTATAATAACTTTGCAGGCCACAAGTTGGGAATTGCCTCTATTGGTGGTCTTGCAAGACTTTGACCATTTCTTCCCTTTGAGGCTGGAGCTGTATACTTGTGATGTAGTGGGAAAGTGTGTGAAAATGTGCAGGGCCATGAGAGAATCAGTGAGGATGGTGTAGTAGTTCTCAGTGCTCAGAGAGGCGGCGAGTGTGTAGAGTGATCACTGTGAGAATTAGCATTCCTAGAGAACGCTGGGTAATATGCAGTGTATAGACTCACCCTGGCAGCTGGTGCACTCACAACTATGGATGACAGGCAACACAACTGGCTCTGTCTCCCCGCTCTCACACTGCAGGCTTAGGATACGCACTGGGCTCTGGGGGTCCAGTCGGTAACTACAGCACTCACACACAGCCTGCAGATAGGGCTCCTGGAAATGACAGAGGCACTGAGTGAGACTTTCTCTTACGGGGGTCCTAGAGACTGCACATTGAAAATACACTCACACTGCCTGCTACCAGAGCTCGGCAGACTGAGTCACCCATAGGAGACTCATTAATATTTTTATCATACAGCCTTTACTAGAGTGGCTCTGGGATGAACTTGATTCTGGAGGACTAACAGAGACACAGTCATATGAATTACGATGTGGAAACCTGAAACCCATCATCTGACTTTAAGACAAAGGCATTGTAGCAGATATACAGACTTTCTGATAGGGTGCAATGGACAATATAGACACAGTGGCTAGAGTCTAATGGGGTGAAACCCAGAATTGCAGATAAAAGAAGGGGCAGTTACAGAGACAAAAAAACACTTCATGATATAAAAGACACCTCTGCTATGACGTTGGTCATGGACAGACAGCGTCCACGACAGTAGCTGACTTTGACGTTGTCAAGGCGACAGTCTCCCTTGGTGATGTTCCTAACCTCTGTGTAGCGCCGGCAGACTGCTATGGGCTCTTCTGCACAGGCAGAGAATATGAAGGTGAAGTGGAGAGTACAAGTAAAGACTCTTCTGCACATGGACAATTAACCACTGAGGCAATAAAACACTTACGCACACATGCAGAGTCATGCTGTCAGGGAAGTTATTCACGTACACCGTGCAGAGTATATTTAGACACAAGTTTGATATGAAGAGATCTGACAGCATTTTTTTTTTTGTAAAATGTTGATCTAAGCAACAGCACACAATCACTGTAGGGGACTCAGAACTGGGTAACAGTCTCCAAGGTCAGTCTGGTTTTGGAAGAGTGACCAAGTGGAACAGCTCCTTTCTGAAACAGTTCAAGGGGAGCTAAAACTTGCATCTAGTGGTAGTGATAATTCTAAAATGCTAAAAAACTGAAATGGAAACCATATGAATCTGTACCCATCAGTGGTGTTGAGTCAATATGCTAGGAGATAAAGCAGCAAAAAGGATGTGAAAAGAAGCAGAAAGAACAGAACTATTGTTGTTGAGCTACAAATATGAATAGGAATCTGAATGTGACATCTGCATGCACTTTAGATAACTTTTTCTAATCTTTTCCTTAACCTATTGACTTTGACATAAGTGAAAGACCTTACAAATTTACTCTGGTCTCTCTCACCACACTGTTTTTAACTCTGCTGCTGTCTCTAATTCACACTCTTTGTTTTCTGTCATTGTGTGTCCCAGCTCAACCTGAACTCGGTGACACACACTGAAAACCACACCAGGGCACCATCTTTCCTCTTACCTGGAAACTCTTTCCTGCACACGGGACAGCAGCTACCAGGGTCTTCCACCTTCACCTCCCCCTGAAAGTGAGATATACAGAGATAGAATTTGTTGAGACTGGGAACAGGAGGAAAATCTCTACATAAGATTTGTTGGAGTCAGGTATAAGCTACCCAGCCATGTCATTGAAGTTGATACCCAGATTTAAACAGCAGATTGGGTTCCACCAATGAATAAACAATTATTTCTAAACTATTGACACATCACAACAATGCAAACCTCCAGAGATCCAAAATCCGGAGACAAAGAATCCTTACATTCAGAATAAATGCGAGTAAATTAATGAAACAATTACAAAAAAACTCCACACAGTGTCCGTGTCCACCACCCAACCTAATTCAAATAAGAACACTTAAACATTAAGTGCATTATAACAAAGCAACCCACATCCCTACTACCAACACAAGGCATTGCAAAGCCTAGACTTTGGCTCAGAGAAAAGTCTCCTGAGACTGCTAATCCTGAAGCTCATTGCACTTGGCCAGACTGACTCCAGCCAGTTCCAGGAATGCACAGCATCAATAAATATACATACACTTATCTGGAACACTGAGATAAAGAAAATGACACACAACAGATTACCCAGTACTAGTGAGGGATCCACCATGATGTCAAATGTGAAGAATTGGATTTCAATGGCCGAGATGGGGAAAATACCCATGAGTCAATATTCCGATCAGGCCACAATCAGTCTTGTATGACAGAGAGGCAATCCCATCTCAAATCCTGCCTGGGGTTGGCAACAAATCACGTGTCACTGCATAAATGTGGCAAAAGCTGTTTTACTAAAACTAGACTTTATACTTGTTGGTTTAAATGCAAAGCATAACGTCTGACACAAACCTAATAAAACACATCACTTGGTCAAGACCATACCTATTTCCAAGCATGGTGTGATCAGTGTTGTGTTATGGGGTTACTCTTCTTAGCGGGAACTAGAAATTTTCTTCAGATCGAGAGGGAAATAGATGGAGTACAATTCAGGCAAGAGAAAAATCTGCATCTTCCTGTCGGTTGAAAACCTAAAACTGGGATTGATTTTTCAGCAGACCTTTCAGCTGAATGATGACATAAAGCACAAGGCCAGACCTCTACTAGACTGGTTTAATAAGAACATAGTAAATGTTCTGGAGAAGTGTAATCAGCATCCTTATTTATATTTTTTAGAAAATCTCTAACAAGACTTGAAAATTAATGCCATTCAAACAGACCACAACCAACTTGAAAGTGTAGCGGCGAGGCTTATTAATAAGAAAGAATTAAGTGTTCTGAGC